CGTTTTTAACAAAGAAACCTATCCATCATTGACTCAATAATCCTCTAGAGACGGGGGATTTATATATGCACGTGTTTGTGCATTTAAATCCATATGCATGCATATATTGATGACGAACTATATAATTGAGAAAGCTAGAAGAACCTAATTAAAATATTCAGATGAAACTATAAGGATTTACAAATTAATTTTCTCTGTTTTTTTATTATCACGAATAACAATCTGTTCAGGTTCAAGAAAATCCTTCCGGTGACTTCAAGAGCATGTATCGTCACATTTCTAAAGGAGCATGGACCTTCTCAGTCGCAGACCAAGCATTGCAGGTTTCTGATTGCACAGCAGAAGGTTTGAAGGTGATTAACTATAATTAATTACTTAATCATGTCATCAGAATTTTCAACTTCACATCATGTTGTGTTAATTATGTATCATATTATTGTTTGTTTCAGTGTTGCCTTCTATTATCAAAGTTACCACCAGGGATTGTAGGCGAAAAGACAGAACCTGAAAGATTATATGACGCTGTCAATCTAATATTGTCACTTCAAGTGAGTACTTTTGAACTCGAATTAATTAATTATTGAAGGCAGTTCAATTTGCTGGTGTTGAAATAATAATCTAAAGACGTTTTGAATGTATCTGATTTATTCTCAGAATAAAAATAATGGTGGCGTGGCTGCTTGGGAACCAATCAAAGGACAAAAGTGGTTAGAAGTAAGTACAGTAACTTCTGCTCACATTAATTTTAAGTGAACTAGTTAGGTAATCTGAATAATTTTCTTCACCCTTAGCTTCAATAATATTGAATTTTTGCTTGTTAGGCGATGAACACAGTAGAGTTTTTTGAGGACAGTATGGTTGAGCATGAAACTGTGGAATGTACTGGATCAGCAGTTCAGGCTCTAGTTTTGTTTGGAAAGTTTTATCCCACCCATAGAAGGAAAGAGATTGAGAATTTCATTGAGAATGGTGTGAGATTCATTGAAGATACACAAACAGAAGACGGTTCATGGTGGGGATTCTGGGGAATTTGCTTTACGTATGGAACAATGTTTGCACTTGCTGGTCTTGCTGCTGCTGGTAAGACCTATCAAAACTCTAATACTGTTCGCAAAGCTGTGAATTTTCTTTGTACGATGCAAAATGAAGATGGTGGCTGGGGAGAAAGCTATCTTTCTTGTGCTCAAAAGGTTTAATTGCATCATCACCTTCAATTCTAGAGGAATAAAAGGAAAAATTAGTGAAAAGTCTGTGTTTCAAAATTTTATTGGTGAGAAGTACGTGAATTCAAGTGCTGTTACTTTGTATGGATAAAATCTTGCAAAGTAATGATATCTTGTGTATGAAAGCATATCAGGTTCTTATGACCAATAAAATTATCGAAGTCTAACTTTTCACTGATTTTTCTTGAAAAAGAATATCATGTGGTCGTTAATTAGTTTGATTTTTCTGTTTAACTTAAGTGCTCTTTTATATGCTTGATGTTTCAGAAATATATTCCACTTGAAGGAAACCGATCACATGTAGTACAAACAGCGTGGGCTATGATGGGCTTGATTCATTCTGGACAAGTAAGCTAAGCCAAGCAAAAACAAAAGAAACAAAAAAAAAACAGTGATTTTCAATAAGATAATGCTTGTTGTATATTTGAAAGGGCAGATTATTGATTATATAGCCTTATCGAAAGGCTACAAAAAATTTACTGAAAAGCATATATATGTGAAATTTGAAATTTAAAATGATATATTTCATTTCATTGGATAGATGGAGAGAGACCCAACACCTCTTCACCGGGCAGCAAAGTTCCTCATCAATTCTCAGTTAGAAGATGGGGACTGGCCACAACAAGTGAGTTTTTTTTTTTTTAAATTTTCCTGTTCGGAAATTACTCTGAATTGGCATAATAAATTATTAAAACAAATTCTAATTCTAATTCTAATTCTTATTTTTTTTATTAATGTTATATGTGTTCAGGAAGTGACAGGAGCATCTTTGAAACACTGCATCTTACACTATGCAATGTATAGAAATATATTTCCAATGTGGGCCCTTTCAGAATATCACAAGCGACTTTAATATCATCTTCCTGCTAAAAGCTTTTATTTATTATTATTCGGAAAAAATTGTCATTGAAGTATGCTTATTTATTAAATAATGTTTGTATAGTTATCTGAATAAATGGGATAGCAAATGAACAACACATGCAATAATTGTATATTATGTGTAAATTAAGTTGGTACTGCCCAATCCTATAGTGTTACACATCTTTCTTGGAAACACTTAGGAACAGGTTGGTTGGATTTTTTTTCCTCCCTTTTATATCAATAATTCGATATCTTTCGTAGCCAGAAGCCTCATTGCTTTTTCAATGTTCATAAAAATCTTAAATTTATATTCGGGTCAATAGTTTCTAATTTGTCCCAGGTTATATATTCTGAGGCCAAAAAAGAAAGTAGGCTAAAATTGGTAAATCAATTTTGTTTTGAAGCGGAGGAAAATAGGATGTTACAAGTCATCAAGTGAAATATTAATTTCTCCTCCCGGGGTGGTTGTACCCTCTTTTCTATTAATGGAACACCTTTTTATGGCAGAAAAAAAAGCACAAGTCCACAAAAGAATATTCTCCTTTTTTTTTTGTCAGAATCGTCATCTAAGAATATTCTTTCACTTAAAAAAGAAAACAAGAATATTCATGTTTTTTAGGGATGCAATGCTTTGAGCTCACAGTTCCAAGGCACTAGTAAATTTTGGTTAAAAATTACTCCCTCCGTTCCTTATTATAAGAGACAAATAACCGAAGTACGTTAATCAAAAAAACAGTTAAAATTAGTTAAGAACAATTAATGTGTAAAAAGTATAATTCTTTTCCAAAAATGCCCTCATTAATAAGGAGAGAGAGCATGAGAGAAGACAATTGAATTATTAAAAGAAAGAGAAGTGGGAGGAAGAGAGAGTGTGAGTTGGAGATAATAAATATGGGTAAAATAATAAATCAACACAAAAAAGTAGAGACAACTTGTAAGCGTCTCTTATATATAGGAACATGCTATAAGCATCAAATGTCTCTTATAATAAGGAACGGAGGGAGTACTAACTATTACTTCCCCAATCATCAATATAAAACATATTTATAGTATAAAATATGTATTATATTTAGAATTAGAGTGGTATTTTATATTCAATTCATTTAAAATTGAATGGATTATTACACTAACATGATTAAATTTGATTTTTGACTTAAAATTGACTGAGTTTTAAATAAGTAAATTTATATATTCTTCATCGGACTATAGTCCAGTTCATATATTTATGGATTAGATAAATTTCCAATCCATGGAACAATCTTATTATCTATTCTATTTTATTCATCCCCTTTTCAAGCTTTAAGAGACAAACTTACTTTTAGAAGTCAATAATTTTGTAATCCAACATCATGAATTCTCCGTCCCACTCATCGTTATGTGATAAAAAGGAACTCTTAAGAGATACTGCCTCCGATTCTTAATATAAGATTTTGTTTGATTTTTATTTTGGTCCTAAATATAAGACTCCAATTCACTTTGTCTCTCATATTTATGTATTTTTTCTAAGATAGTCCTTCTAATAATTATAGTTCTAGCCAATATAGTTGATTAATAAAGATATTTTAGAAAAGAGAACACCTATTTATTATAAATAACTAACTTAACTTCTTTCTTTAATTTCCTCAAATTAGTCAACTGGATCTTATAATTAGGATCGGAGGTAGTACTAACTAAGGGCCGACTGATAAAATAATTTTTTAATTGTGATTTATGAAATACGAAATGAGTATATGAGAGGAGTTTTATTTCAATTTATGTAAAATGTATTTATAATTGCTTTTAATTATTAATTTGCTTCAAGTTATCAAGTAATTTTTTTTGCTAATACTAAATTGAAAAACACATGAGGATAGATTTGCATGCAACGTTGAGTGGCACTAGTTAATGATTATAATATAAAAAAGCAAATTAAAAAGGACAAAATTTAAGAAAAAGAAAAGCAAGTTGGGCAGAGTAGCCTGAAACGAAATGATAGCAAGTTTGAAAGGAAGAGAGTGACTTTCCTGTGTGATTGACACTCATATTTGATTGACTTGCTCACTTCATACTGCTCCTTAATTGGAAGCAGCCATGGAAAAGACATCCTCTTTTGTCCTTATTCTTCCCTTCGTCCTGTACCTTTGAATGTGATTACACGGTAAATTTAGCACTGTGGGGAGGCAAAATGAAAAGTCCCTGACCTATAATTAAAATGTTTAAATTTATAATTATTTATATAAATATTTACAACTTATTTTAAAAAAATTGTTAAACATATAACTATCATTAATTCATCTATTTGGAGCCTTGTTGTCGTCCACCAAACACTTCAAAAGTCATCTTAATATCGTTCATCTACTTTGCACAATAATATGAAGACTTCATCTAATCATAATAGGTGACATTACTATCAAGACAACTTGCCATTTAACATAATAAATCATATATTAATTATGAGTTATGCTTGTCATCTTTGAACTTAAATCATGTTGAAGTTAGTTAATGGGAGCATTGCCGTGTTTTGTTTTTTATAAACTTTATAGAACTTTCATGTTATTTTTATTATAATATTTTGTCTTGTTATAAAAACTACAATTTATCAATATTTTTATGTTTATACATAATCAATAATAAAAATATTTATTTAGCTTATATTTGGTAGCAATTGTTGAGATAGAACTACGTTTTACTTTACTAATAATTACCAATTTACTTGTTGGCATAAAAAAGTCCTAATTTATTTATGACTTGCTTCTAATTAATGCAAAAGGATCAAAAGCGTGTGTTGTGAGTGGTAAGAATCGTGGCTGGTTAAAACTTAACAGGGATGATGCAGATGTGTATTAACGTTATATTGGCTTTCCAGGTTCTGGGTCTCCTTAAAAGAAGCAAATTCTAAAGGAAAGCGTCTTCATTTTCTTGAGGGAGGAAAAGGAGTAGAAAGTAGAGAGACTCGCGTCAGAGGACATAGAGTTATTGAGTGGGAGCACACTCATCCACCACCAAACCATGTCGCTTGGATATGCAGAGAAGCTTTCGTACATAGAAGATGTGGGCAGCGTGGGGATGGCAGAATATTTCGAACCAGCTCAAGTTTTACAAGAAAAAGTTGGTCACTTCTTTAGTTCTCCACTCGCAATCTTCATAATTTCATGTCTGGTTCTGGTTCCTGTTGCTGTTATTTCTACTTGTTACACGTAACTCGGGTGATCTTATGCAAACTTCGACGTTTAAGACTGCTATTTGGGTCCAACACTGAGAAACTTTGTTGCCTTGTGAAATCTGGTACCGGGGTTTTAGTTTTATGATTGATCGGTCATTGCTTAATCCACTTGTTTAGCGCTGATTAAGATGAAATTTGGGAAGCTCTTTACTGGGCTGTCTGTGTGTCTGGTTGTAGAGGTCTTGATCATTAGCTTGCATGATTGTGCATATAAGCGATAGGGAGTTGGACCATTCTGGAATAAGATGAATGAACGTGTTCCATTACCAGTGTTTCTGATGGAATGAGTAATGCTTTCAAATATTGAATGTTTACCAGGTGTATTCCTGGGTCTGATTTGAGGCTGAGAGAAAAATATTCCAATAGGCATTAATTAAATAATTGATAAGAGGATATGTTTTTGACGTATCCTTGTATATGATTCGTTCCTTTCCTGATGTTGCTTATGTCTTTTCTCAGTCTGATTGTCTCCAGAAAATGGAAGCTGTGTTTTTGTAGTTTGGTTTTGGTGGCAGCTAATGTCCCCCCTGTGGTGTGCTTTGGGTTGGCTTGCTAGTAGCGCTTGGTTGAATACCAAATTAAGGTGTTCAGTTTTATAAAATATCTTGAATTCTGAGTATTTTTTTAAATGTTGTTTTTGGGTTTTCGAAATTTTTATTTCTGGTTCTTTAAAATAGCTGCAAGCCTCTTGGATGCCAGAGTTAAGTGACCAAGACGTCTTAACGAGGAATGCACATTTAGTTCTTCATTAAGTATAAATGTGATCAAATCAGAAGGATCACACTGATTAAGCATTTAGGAATCTTAAGAATATGTATAGTTTTTAACCCACTATTTGGTTGTTTATGCAGATATGCATGTGAAAAGTTTCTGGATTCATGAAACTTCCACTCAGTTATTGCATTTAGCTGATTTCATTAGAGATCAGCATGATTATTTGGATAAGAAATAAGTTTATGTTTGCTAACTGCAAATTTCTTTCACCAATTCCTTTTCTGGCAGATTGAGCAACTTGCTTTCTTTATAAGAAAGGTAATTTGCAGAGACTTATTAGTTTACCGTAGGGACTTTCCTTTCTGTGTGTTGGTTCTTTAAATAGTCAGCTTCTTCATACCTTTCTCATTCTACTCGCAGAGTAAGCGCCTAGTAGTGTTTACAGGTGCAGGAATATCAACGTCTTGTGGTATACCTGATTTCAGAGGCCCCAAGGGAATTTGGACGCTTCAGGTGATCAGCATGTTCTTTGATTGGTTTTTTCATGCTGTTCTGTCTCAACCCTTGGTTACTCAAAGATACTAGGGAAAGAAAGAGCACATGTTCAGATATTTTTCTTCCAATGTGAATATGGCATGGATCCACTTTATCTGCTTAATATAATGATATAGTTATGCCAAGATCTGACTACTGGTTTATTTTCCAGCATTATTTGATGATATCACTTGTTTTGATTGATGCAAAACAAATGTTATATAATGACCTAAAAAAACAAAATATTTCACTACTGTTTGGAAGGATCTGCTTTTTCATTCTTCTATTGCCTTTGCTTACTTGTCTTGATACTTCATGCTATCATTACTTCAATATCGGGCTTTTTAAGTTCTCATTCTTGTTGATGTATCATTACAGCGTGAAGGCAAACCATTGCCTGGAGCATCTTTGCCATTTCATCGTGCAGTGCCAAGCGTGACTCACATGGCTCTGGTAGAATTAGAGAAGGCCGGTATATTAAAGTTTGTTATCAGTCAGGTAACAGCACTGCATTTTTGTTTAAATATACATTTTTTTCCTTCAGATACATGTCATCAACTTTTTGTTCATTAGTAATTGGGTCTATCTCTATTCTTTTGATAAGCTCATCTTTTTATCAGTGTGTTTTTGGCATTTTTTTCCCTCTCAAAAAGGTCATTGAATTCTATTTTTATATGTAGAATATTGATGGTCTCCATCTTCGTTCTGGAATACCAAGGGAGAAACTAGCAGAATTGCATGGGAACTCCTTTATGGAAACATGCCCTTCCTGTGGAGCTGAGTAAGATTTTTATTGCTATTTGCATCCTAGTTTATGGCATGACCTATCTTTGTTGATGTTTGGTTATCTTAGCATGTTCAATCAAATATCTTAAATGATATTAAAATTGATGGAACAAATGCTACTAGTGTGAGCAAAATAAAAACAATCATATGTTTTTAGCACTCAAGAACAAATATCTCATCAAGGATATCCACCTGACTCCTTTGTACAAAATCCACCTTAGACAATCTGCGACCACTTTTTTTGGCCTCTGCATTGTCAGCATTAATGTATTTTTGTTTATTCGCAGTTTATATGGAAACTATATTATGAGCCAATTTTATGACTTGAACTTCTTAAGGTACTTTCGGGATTTTGAGATTGAAACTATTGGGTTGAAGGAGACATCAAGGCGTTGTTCAGATGATAAATGTCGAAAAAGACTTAAGGATACAGTTCTTGATTGGGAGGTACTGCTTTGAAATCTCTTGTAATTTCGCTTGACAAACCTCTGCTTTGAAAGGCCATACTTCTTGTTTTTATTTAAACTTTTCAACTGTGGGTTTGTGATATGGTATTTAAGTGATGTTGTTTGATTTTGATCATTACTGGTGGGGAACTTAGTAAATTTTCATGTCAACGGGTGATACACTGGGAATTACATGTAATTGGGGATGGTTATAGTTGGTGGATATGTCGAATGTGTACTCCTTGTAAAGAAATGGTGAACTCTTGCTAGAGGTCAAATCTGTATGGTTGATCGCCTTCAAGTGGGTGGATCATGTAAAGAATTTGTTCCTGTGTGGAAGATAAAATTAACGAGTAATTATTTGTTTAGAGTTCTATGTCCATTTGTAATGGGCACACTGGATTTAGTGGTCTGACTTGGAAGCTCTGCTTTTGATTGTTCAGTAAATAATATGCTATCAGATGGATATAAATTCTAAAACGATGGATTCAGAACGCACAGTCTAACATATGTAAACAATGAGGTGTAAAAAATAAATAAATTAAAAAAAGAGGCATTCTGTTTTAATCCAAAAAGTAATTTATTTTGAGAGCTGGTCGAAGCTGTTAATTTGGCCAACTCGTCTTTGAACTAATCTAACCAATAAAGCGGTGCAGGCTGATTGTGAAATAGAACTTAGAGAAAATTATCCTGTCCTGGCCTATTGATTGTAATCTAATTGACATGTGCGTGAGGATCATGCATTTCTTTGTTTCCCCTAAGCATGTCTTTTTGGGTATGGACAGGATGCGCTGCCTCTGAAAGAGATGGGTCCTGCAGAGAAACACTGCAGAGAGGCAGACATTGTTTTATGCTTGGGGACAAGGTAACAAAATACTTTGTTTCTTGTCAGTTTAAGATAGCTGTATTCTGCTAACCTGATGTATATCGCTTTCCATACCACCTGCTTGTCTACACTTGAAGTAGTTAGGTGACTGAGACTGGTGTAATTCTGAGTCGACTAAAACCCCACTTGCGCTAGAATGACAATTGTCTTTTAAATTCATACTGTTGTGTTCCTATTCTAAATCTCTTACTACATTTTGTGTTTTTTTTTTTTTTTGGTCATGCAGTCTGCAAATAACTCCAGCTTGCAACTTGCCGCTAAAAGCACTTCGTGGTGGGGGTAAAATTGTCATTGTAAATCTGCAGGTATGTCTCTCTCTCTTTTTCTCTCGCCAGTTTGTGTATATACATCTGGGTGTTGTCCCATCTGTCAACTTAATTTCTCCATTTGTCCTTCTAAAGTTGTTTGAGTGTGATTGCTGAGTCAAACTCGTTAGCTCACATGTGAAAGCCAAATACTTTCAATAGTACGCCACAAGTTCAATATGCTATTTGTCTTCGTAAATAAATATAAGTGGATTTTTTTTTTTGGGGGTTTGAAGTTAGAGCTCTACCATGACTCACTCCGTTCTTATCACCATCTCTAAGTAATGATCACGACCTTACCATTTTCAGTTTTAGTGCTATGTAATAAGTATTGGCTGCCTCAATCAACTTATGCATGTTAAGAACTTTAGGTAAACAGAAGAGTGATCTAAATGGTTATTGGTTAAAGAAATCCAAATTCAAGTATAGCCAACATATAACCTGATTACTGTAGGATCAGAATATCCTAATATAACGGGGAATCTCAGGGCTCTCACAGTAGGAGAAGAACGAGATTAGATTGTCCAACTTTCTTATGTTTCTTATTTCTTTATCTGTTTTTCTTTTTCAAAGTTTCATGTTTCCTTAGGACTCAAGTCACCTGATGTGTTTTTTTTTCCCCCCAATCCCCAGAAAACTACAAAGGACAAAAAGGCCAGCTTGGTCATCCGTGGGCTAGTAGATAAGGTATTTTCATCTGAATCCTTGAGTGCAGAAGATCTACCCCTTCTTCAGAAGAAAAATGATGCAGGTCATGCAACTTGTGGCAGACTTTAAGAATAATGATGATGTAATCCTAGTTCTGTGGTAAATTTTAACCAGAGAAGTTCATGTTTGAAAATTAGAAACCTATCTGCTTCTAGAGCCATAACTAATAACAAATGCAAACTGCGAAGTTTAACCACAATTTTGCATATTAATACAAAAAATTTGAAAAGAGATGGTTATTAAGTGTCTTCTTTGTCTTTGCTATTTAGGTTTTCCTTGTTTACTGCCCTTGCATTTATAGGAATCCGAACTGTTCTGTATATTCGTGTTTTGCCTGGATAATTTGTTTTCCCCTTGTTATGGGTTTCTGCAATTACTATATTGTTAGTTCAAACTGGAGCAGGTAATTGAAGGAGTCATGAACTTGCTTAGTCTGCAGATTCCTCCATTTGTCAGGATTGATCTTTTCCAGATCATTCTAAATCAAGCTTTGAGCAACGGTAACCTTCATTCAATTCTAACATATTTACATTTTCCTTCTTTGGCTTTGTATATGGAGATGAATCTATAGAATAGCATGACAACTCCACTACTTTATGATAAACTTACAAGACTTTGAATGAAGGACCTTCTAGATTGGCTATCATGTCAAATTTCATATTCACTGGACTGGACGAAGTTTCGCATTAGTAAAATTGATTTGTCAGCATATCTCTTCATTGCTTGTTATATTTCCTGCTTCTGGCAACTCATTTGGTCCTGCCTGTGAATTTTACTTTCCTTTTCATGATCCCGTAATTCTAGGTTGCACAATTGAGAAGCACTTACATAAGCCTTATTTCCTTTCACATAGTTCATTTGAATCACAGATAAAAAATACGTGAACTGGACTCTCCAGGTTGCAAGTGCACATGGGCAGAAAGCTGCATTACCGTTTATCAAGTCCGTTGACGTGAGTTTATGCTTAGAACCTCTCATGGTCATTTCTTCATCTATGGCTAAATCACTTCATTCTGCCTTTTTGGATACCCTGGTGTGGGTTCCCTTGGTCATTCTCCTATTTATGGGTGACTGGTTTATCATGTTTGCATTATAGTGAGTAAAACTCTGTTTGGTTAAAAAAAAAAAGAGAGAGAGAGAGAGAGAGAGTAAAGCTGTGAAAACCAATGTGTTCCACTATATTGAGAAAAAATTGACTAGCAAAGTTATCTGTGTTTCAGGTCTCCTTCTTAGACAAAGAAGATTACAAAGCAGCCATACTGAACGCACAACCATTTCGGCTTAAAAGGTGCCGCAGCATGCCTCTGCCATGCGCTTTTTGGAATTAATAATATTGTCACTATCAGTGGTAACATACACTCTGCTGTCCTCCAATTTTGGAATACGTGTCTTCATGCCATGGATTAAAATTTAAGTGAGATTTAAATGAATTGGGATGATTTGTAAAAAAGAAAAAAAATGATTGAGAAGTCAGGAAATCTAGAACAAAAATCATATCTCAGTATTGAACCTTTTGAGAAATAATAAGTGTCATGGGTCACATCTGGATGATTGGTGTATCAGGAGAACAGCATTGAATAAAGCATTTGAAATGGTTCTGAAAATCAGCTTCAGTGAAGGCTGTGGTTGCTCCTCCATCGAAGTCGATGTCCTGGTTGATTTTAAGGTGAGGCAGGCCAATGACATGTGACTATATGTTAGCTTTTCAGAGCATCATCTCTTAAATCAAAATCTTCTTTCATGAAGTAGTTCTTGTTGTTCATCTTCTGTCCATGCCTTATTTGTTTTCTTTTATCATTAAAACAGCAATCACTAATTCTCGATCGAGTTCATCGATAATTTTCGTTGTGAAACCTCACAAAAATATCTTCAATGCAGGTTTCAAGTGACAGCTTTAGCTTTGATAGGGAATTGATATTCCAAAAGCTGAGAGAGAAAGCAATTGTGGAATCAAAATGTGGGCAGAATGCTGTTATAGAGAGAATATTGGAGCCTAGAAGCAATATCACTCAGTATGCCGTTGTCACCAATCTTGTTCAGTACAGCAAAGGGTATAATAAAACATGTCCTGAATCTCTTGGTGATAATGGCCATCTCAAGAAAAGAAAAAGAAGTGTGAATGGTACAAAATCAAATAGGAAGGGATCTGAGTAAACCTAGATTACTAACCCTAGGATTATTCATGTAACATCTTTTGATTAGATCAGGAAAGAAACATGACCAAAGCTAGAAACATGATTTCAAGTAACTATTACTGCATTTTCCAATACGAGTCAGTTTATCTTTTCCCCCTGCGTTGTGTGGTTGTTACTTTTTCCTTTTGAAAAATGAGTTTTACCAGTACCAGATTATTTAAGAATAATAAAACTTGAAAACAACTTTGTAAATGGAATTTTTTTCCCTTAAAAACATGTAGAGTCCATCTTGGTCTTATCACCCAAAAGAAAGCACCACCCAAGCCAGGCCACATGGGCAGTTCCTTATAAATTCTGAAAATAAAAATATTTTTGTGACATGATGAAATGAATACGTCAGAATTAGAATTGCTCTAGAGATGCCATGATCAGCTTAAGACATGATTAAATTAAACTGAGGAAAAAAGAGAGAGAGAAATAACTTTAAATTCCAAGGTCTGATTGCTCATGTGGCTCCAAGATAGAGATCAGAAAAAAGATGCTTCTTTTCTGTGATTCTATTCCTCAAAGTTGATTATTCATTTTGTTTTTTTCCTCAATTTCTCACTCAGATATCATCAGTTTCTTACTTTCTGCCTTCTATTCCAGCTGGTGGGGCCCAAGAACCCTATTACAGATTTGTAGATGAATCTCTTGGGATCATATATGGGAGATAACAATAAGAATGTGAGAAACTATATATAATCATAATGTAATCCAATTATAGAAAACCAATACACATTGATATATCAAATCCATGATTAATTTTGTGTTGAAAAAGACTAATATATTGTTTTAGTTTGCTGTGAAAACTATAGGTCTCTTATAATCTCAGGAATTATCCAAAAAGGAATAGAATTAATTAATTTTAGCAATTGGGATGGTTTTGAAGAACTGTTTTAATATAATATTTCAAATTATTTCATTCCCCAAAAATTGAAATTTTAAAAATATTTTATAAAGGTACATACTTATTGAAAAGAAAGTTTACGTTACATACTTATTGAACAGAAAGAAGTATAGAATGATCTTTTATGTGAGACTCTTGGTAGCTACAAAATTTTCAATCATGTGTACCCTAGAAAAGTAGGTCTTACCTCTATCTCCGTGTGTTGTGGGTCCCGCACACGGGTTATATACATATCTTTTTAAAAAAATTTCAAAAAAACAAATGTTGGATTTCAAAATTTCAAATTAGTATTAGTTATTTTACTAGTAAAAAAAATAACTACACTCAAAAAATAAATAATAATATTTTTTTATAGTAATTCCTGATTTGAAACTTTAAAATTCAATAGTTATTTTTTTGGAATTTTTTCAATCTTTTTTACCAATTAAATCTTCTCTAAAATAATTTTAGAGTACTAGTTTTAAAATGAGGTTAATATATATGTATACTCTTCATCTTTATTGTCTTTTATTAATTAAATGATGGGAATAATATAATGGCCATCCCAAGACAAGCAGCTCTGGGGACTTTGGTAGAAAAGTAAACAAGAAATAAAACCGGTTTTTTATTAAGATGGTTCCATTGTCTTGTGAGTTACAGACAATAAATTTTACCTATATTTTATTTCACTCTCTTAATTTTCTTAAAAATATTTTCCTTTTAAAATAAATACTAACAAAAAAATGTACATATTACTTCACAATTAAATTATTCGTATCACCTAATATAAAATGCTCTCGTAAAACAACTATCTAACGTGACTTCAATCATACAATATAAAAAGAGAGAGATGAACACACGGAAACAACAGAAAAGGAGGACACAATGAGAAAATTCTACATATGGCTTTCCTTTTTTTTTTGTATTTTATTTTTTTAAAGAACTAATTTTCTTTTAAAAATTAAGAACATAGAGGAACATATATAGCACAACAGCTAGCTAGTATATGCAACGCAAAAGGAAAATACGTAGCCTACTTGCATGCAAATGGAAGTGATCAATGACTCCAACAACATAGGCACAATATATGCAATATTCAATGACAAAAGACTTGTATATGCTTGCTTGCTTTATTTATAAACTTAATTTAGTGACAAATATTTAGGTTGCCAATCCCAATTTATTACCAGACTAATTTTAAGCAGTGTTTCAGGGGAAAATCAATTGCTCAAATGTTCATTATCTTTCATTGCTAATAAAAATTCACGTGTCCAATTTTTATTTCAAAATTTGGTAAATTAACTATTTGTAATGGATATTTTGTTTGTGATGAAATTATAAGTGACTTTCCACATATTAAAACGTTACAAAACAACATACCAAGACCTAGAAATTGCTCTTACGACGCCATGCACTGAAGTTTAGTGTGAGAAGATGGGACCCACTTAAGCTTTTGAGGCATATAATAAAACTGGAAAAAGAAGAAGAAGATAAGAACTTTAATTTGCAAGGGTTTATTTTTCATGTGTTTCCAAGATAGAGACAAGATAAAAGATGCTTCTTCTTTTTATGCCATTCTATTCCTCAAATGCATTTTGTTCCTTAATTTTCTCACTCGCATAACAACGTACAGTTTCTTTCTTCTATGGTTTATTTATTACAGTAGTGTGTGTGATTCAAGAGTCCTTTAATTTTGTAGGTGAGATCTTAAGCATATATAATTAATATATATTTATATATACACATGACAATGAGAATATTAGAAACTCTATGTAATAGCAATATAATATAATGTAGTCCAAATAAAAAACCAATTCACATTAATATACAATTTCCGTGACTAAATTTGTGTTAAAACAGACAAATATATTGTTTTAATATGAGGAGTCAACATAATGTCAAGAACTATCCAAAGAGAAATACCAAATTTTAAAAATATTTTACAAAAACGTTAGTATGAAAAGAATATTTGATATGACTTGCAAAGATTAAATCTTTGTGAGCAAAGAGTACTTAAAAGTGTATACGTTATGTTATAAGAAACGTTGTGTGATTTTTCATGTGAGATGCGTAGATAATGCCAAGATTCCCAATCATGTGGATCCCACAGAAGTAGGTCCTACCTCTGTCTTTCTGTGCTGTTTGTTCCATACACGCGGATCATACATGTCAACCTTCTTTTAACATATGTTACTAGTTACTCTTCATTTTTACTTTCTATTTATATCTTTATATATATATATATATATATATATACTCACTTTCTCAAAATTATTTTGAAATATGATAGTGTTAAAAATTAAGTTATTTGTTTGGATCCTTTTCTATGATAGGATGTTTCCGTAAAGCAAATATTTGTCACGACTTCAATCATTTAGTACGGTGAGAGATAGATACATGAAGAAGGCGGAAAGGGTGAACATAAGTTTTGGAAAAATGAAAAGACTTTCTTTTCCTTCAAAAAAATTTTTTGGCGGAACTTTTCTTTTGAAAATTAAGATCATAAAGCAATACAAAAGCAAATTGACGTAGCCTGCATGCATTTCTTAAAAACCAGATTAGCAAAAAATGGGACTGGTTTAAAGGTTTGATCAAAATTGGCAGGCAAATGGAAGTAAATGTCCCCAGCAACAACAACAGCATACACACGCATATATATAAATTAAAGGAGACAACCTCGGAGTGACAAATTAAAACACTTATGCTTAGCTTATTAGCTAATTTATAAACTCTATTTAGTGACAAAAAGTTGTGTTGCCAATTTATCACGCATAAATTTACCATACCAAAGAGAACCACCGTTCTATCTTGCCATAACTAAGCAGTGCTTGGAGAAAATCCACTGATTAAATGTTACATGTATCCCATTTTCATCTCAAAGTATAATCAACTATTTGTCATGTTTAGTTTGTTATTCATGCAAGGATTGAAAATCTATAGATGAGGGATGAAGTATATAGCTAGCTAGGTAATTTCTGTTATTTTGACAAAGAGAAAGAAGGTTCTTAATTTACCTTTTAAAGTCCTTCATGATCTTGAACAAGTTAAATTCTATATTTTCCAATGAGATGTGAAAATAATATTGACAGCTAATTTTAACATGATTAACTATAATTAATATTATAATTTCTTGAGATCATAATTAATTAATCCAAAGGTGCAATTTAATTATTATACTGATTTCCTTAATCATATTTGAAATAAAAATTATATTTATATTTATTATTCAAGAGACAGAAGCATTATTTGTGTTATTTTCATTTTTTTCATAAAAATGTTAAATATTTCCAACAATTACAGTCTTACATGATGTTGTATTTTCTTAGTCATGAAGACAATTTGAAAATTTTCAAAAAGTAAAAAGAAATGAAATGAAATGAAAGGGGGAAATGATTATATAATTAAGCATTTGATGTTATGATAAGCAATTTTTATTACCAGCTAAAAGAATTAACCCTTTTATCTGCTAAAGGTAAAGTAGAAACGAATGAATTAAAACAAAAAAAAAAAAAAAATTTTGGTTGTTTGGACGGCTCGTCCTCTTCCTTTTTGCGCCTATAAATACAAGGCTCTGTGTTGTGGAACAAAACCACACTGTTCTTCTCCATTAATACTCTCTTCCTATTCTCAGTCTGATTCCGGGAAAAAAAAAAAAGCCATGGAAGGTTCAGGAAGTCCCTTCTTTCCCCCTGCAGGCCACCACCACCACCACCAACAACCCGCAAGCTCCGGTGGTATTATTATTCATACCTCTTCCATTGCCCTAGCTTCTGATTCTCTCACACTCACACAAACACAGATTTCTTGTTCGTGCACATTTGCTTTTAGGTTCTTATTTTCTTTGCTTCTTCTTCATGCGGCGTGAGATGGAGATGGAGATATATATATATATATATATATATTTGTCTTCCTCTGTAAATGTACGAAGATCTGAAATTTTTATGGGCTACTTCATGTTCATGCATTTCCTGAATCTGAGATTATCTGGACATGACAGTCATAAGATGATCAGATGACATGTAAGAATCATGAAGTACACGCTGTGATGATCTGGTTTTAGCCAGAACCGTTTTTTTTCCCTTTTCCACCGATCAAAGAATCTTTGTCTTATATATCTATCTTCTTCTTCTTCTTCTTCTTCTTATTATTATTATTATTATCTGTGTCTTCTGTGACTGATCTGTCTGTACATATATATGCAATATTGTTTTTCTTATAGTTTTTCTGTTTCACCACTCTGATCTTCATACTCGTATATATAGATCTTCTTTGAGGGCTTTTGCTTTCTCTTCTGAATATCCATTATTCTTTTCTGCTTTTGGTCGCTCTATCTGATGAACTAACCTCATCAGAAATTGTTTACAGTGATTGAGTGGAATCTTCTGGGGATGATGGATATATGGATACGGCGTGTTTATGGAAAGAAACAAATATGAAAGTGTCGTGTCATTAATTACAGGAAGAGAGATGAAAAGGCCGAGTCATAAATGTGAAGAGAATTGGAAATTGAAATCAAATTGAAGCGAATAGAAAAGTCTTTGACTTAGGGCCCTTGTTGAGATTACCTAAAAACGATTGCAGTCCTACATACACAGTCTACATCCTACTCAACCAAACACAATAATATATATATATATGAATATATATAAAAAAAAAACAACCAATTGGAAGAGACTTAAAGAGAGAAAAGAAGCTTCGATTTTTCATGTATTTTGTGGGCCTCCTCAAATAATTTAGTTGTGCACCAGCTTGCTCATTTTTGCTCTTTGTGATCATCTTTCTGTACTTGTTTAACTTTTATCTTCTTGAATGATGATAAATTTTTAAACTTTTTATTTTTGTTTTCATTTATAATTGTTACTGTAATGCTATCTTTTTCATTTTTATCTTACCTTTTGTTCTAATTTGTCAGATTATAAATACATTTTATTTAAGTATTATGATACGAGCTTTCTTGGGACAGATTTTGTTTGGCTATATAATCTGACAGACAATTTTTTGATGTTTGAGGTTTGAATCTCTCGGGCGCAGCGAACCCTGCCGGACACGGCGGAGCTCCGGTCAACTCAGACCAGGATCAGCAGCAGCAGCAGCCCGCGCAGCGCTCGGTGATGAGAGAACAGGACCAGTACATGCCGATCGCAAACGTTATCAGAATCATGCGTCGGGTCCTTCCGTCGCATGCTAAGATCTCCGACGAAGCCAAAGAGACGGTCCAGGAGTGTGTCTCCGAGTACATAAGCTTCATCACCAGCGAGGCCAACCAGCGTTGCCGGCAGGAGCAGCGCAAGACGGTGACGGCGGACGACGTGCTTTGGGCTATGGAGAAGCTGGGCTTCGACGACTACGTCGGGCCTCTTCACTCTACCTCCATCGTTACCGTAATGGTGGCGGTGGTTCCGGTAGTTCCAGTGGCCACTATGTCCCACGGGGACAGCAAGTGCAGGCTTCGGAGCTCGCACCAATAATGCCGCCACCACAGCCGCCATCGTACTATTACGGGTCGGGTTATAATTATCCAGTGGGAGCGAATCAGACGGGGCCATCGGGTTCTGGCTCAAGCAACGGTGGTGTTCCGCCGGCGTATTATGATCCATTTGCTCACCTGAGGAGTGACCGTTTCTGAGATGAAAATCATGGGAGGGAAGATGCAGAGGTGAAGATTCATGCATGAAGAAGCTCTTAAAGAATAATGCCGCCTTTCAAATATTTCCAAAAAAAGAAAGAGAAAAAAATTAAAATCATAAAAAAATGGTAGTAATTTGTTATTTTGGATTTTTTTCTGTTTTATTTTCCTTTCTTTTTTCTTTTTAATTAAAATATGAAAGGTTGTAAAAAGAGACTTTCTTAGGTAGATGAGATCGTGAGTGGTTGGTTACATGTATGAATTTATCTTATGTTTTTATATACTTCTTTTCTTTTCCTAAAGTTATTCGTCCGATCTAATCTTTTTTATTAATTATGATTTTATATACTTACTCTTTTATTTGTAGGCCCAAAAAAAAAAATTCACTCTTTTATTTGTCCATTCATTTATAACTTGTCTAATTTTTGCTCATTTTCTCATTTGAACTTTGAATCTCATGGCGATATTGTTCTATACCTTGCTGGGTTTGAATATTTGATATGAAAGATTAATAATGCTATTTAAATTTTTTATCTTGGATAACAGACTATTTTAAAATTATCAAATTAATCAATCTCGTGATATGATAAAAAATTTAAAAAATATATGCATTGAAAGTATATCTTTTTGTTACTTAAATCATTTTTTAATATTATTTATGTTAAATTGGAGTATTTTACTTTAAAACATCTAATTTAATGGCCAATTTGTATATGGTAAGTAGATGGAAATAGAATCTTAAAAATAAAGGAGGGATGTGCATTGTATAGCTTTTAATTGTGAAAGAAGTGTGTATATGTTTTGAAAATAAAAATATAATAATTATAGTTAGGATAAAGAGAAGAAAAATTAGTATACTTTATCCTACAACTTTCTATTAAAAATTTACACCATATAAAAAAAAAAAACTAAAGTCAAGTTTCTCATATCCATTACATCAAGTTTTTTAATCACACATAATCATGTTTTTTTTTTATTTCATATGAATTAATAGTTCAATACTATCAAATACTAATATTTGAAAAATAAGATACATGACTATATGTGATTAGAAAACTTCACATAATAAATATAAATATATGCATTTGCATTTATATCATTCAGATTCATCTGTTACTCAGAAAATTTTCAATGATTAAAAATTGCATATGTATAGAAGGAGTTAGATAAGGGTTAAAATTCAAAGTTTAAATCCTCCTAATGTACTAATAAATACTGCAATTATAAACACACGGTGATAATTAGATATTTATACTTTACATTTTTTAAAATAATTACAAACAAGATTTTCCTCCCCATTGTATCAAAATTTAAATAAAATAATAATAATGAACAAATAATGAATATTTAGCCATTGATGACATTAGCCAGAGGGAACTTTATATGAAGCCTTTTCATTTTCTACAATTCTAACACCTGTTAGTTTCATCTTTATTCTGCAACAAAATCAAGGATGAACATAAAAAACAATAATACCAGATTTTTTTAAAATTTAAACAGGATAATAATTATCAACCATGAAGCTCAGGAGCAAAATCATCACTTGATTTTTTTTTAATTAAAAAATACTCACCAGTTGAGTAAAATATCAAGGACAAAAAGTACATCCTATCAAATTACATAAAACTCGGACAGTACAATTACTTATTTGTGTAGTTAAAATGACCCCTTAGCCCCATTGTTCACAAATTTTTTTGCCTTTTTTTCCACCTCCAGAACTTCTAATCGTTGTGCCTCCTGTATATCTTTGTTTAAAACAAATGATATAATTAGCACGCACTATACAGAGCAATACAAATGTTACTTTCCGTCTGAGTTTAAATATAGTTGATGCTCCCTGATATAATCGATCACTTCATCCACAGTCAGATATTTTATTGACAATCTTCTTGCAATGCATTCCCTGAAATTTTTTCAAGAGGAAAGTTTTCAGAAGGAATAAATGAAAAGCCCCCAATGGTTAAATCATTTGGCATAACTCCAGGGACCCGATGACATATTTACCTTAGTCTGGTTGAGCTGATTTGATTTGGTACAATTTCATCCACAACTTTGATATTATCCTGCTAAAGTTATAGCAGTTAATATGTGTGTGTGTGTAAATCAGACCAGCAATATAAGACAGGATTTACTTTTTATTTAAAAAAAACTAGTTTTTTTTTTTTTGGGTTATATTTTGGGGGTGTTTGGATAACCTCAAACCATGGTTTGGAGAATAACTTCTAGAGAATAGATTCTGGAGAGAATAGATTTTGAAAGAATAGCTTTTTTCTTTCTTAAAAAGTGATTCTGATAAGTGAGAGTGTTTGGATAGTTGTTGTCAGAAGTACTTTTTTATATGTAGAAATTACTAAAAGAACATAAGTATAAATGATAATTACATATATGATATATTTCATAATATATCTTTATTTAAAATAATAAAAAATATTAATAAAAAATTAATACGTACATATATTAATAAAATAAATACTATGTTTTTTTCCCCCAATAATTATAAATAATTAAATATGTATATATATTATAAATAATATATATTAATAAAATATGTATTATATAATCACCGTTGGAAGCTACTGAGGGACCAATAATTACCAACGACTATTTTGACTCCTCAGAAGACTCCTCAGAAAGCGGGTGGCGTGCAGCTTCAACCGAAACCAAGGTTTCCCAGCTCAAACCATGGTTTTCAAATTTAAGGGTGTTTGGCAAAAAACCCAACACCCCTTTGTTATTTCCTACTCATCACAGTTCGTTTCTTATACACCGGGAAATAAACAGGAGGAGAGCAGGATGCATAGTTACCCGGTTTTCATTCAAAATGTCATTATCAGAGATAGTCCTCTCAACAGCTTGTCCTTCTCTGCGGATGCAAACTATTCCAAAATCTTTGCATATGGCCTTAACCTAAACAATAATAAGAAAGGTCAAAAATTGCTAATGCATGGATAAGTATTCTGCCCGATATCAATTCATGTCTGTAACAAGAAGCAAAACTTATTAACTTAATAAGCTTATCAGACGGAGCAATATAATCATCACAGAATCAATCTAATTCCTTTGATTCCGATGGCTTGCCAATAACACTAATTCTATTATAGTTACAATGACGAGTGACGCTATTGTTATAGCCAGTTTATTATCAGCGCTATCAGATTTTTCTCTTGGAATGTTTTAAAAAAATACCTGCTCAGGAATCCATACCCCAGGAATGCCAAAGGAGTGAAGGAGATCAGAACCACAGATGAGCATGACCTTGAGGGATTCTACACCAGTCAGTTCCAAAGCAAATTTTAGCATTTATTTCTAAACCATCAACAGAAACACACATAGAAAGCCACTTAGGTTTAGATCAACATATGCCAAATGGGCGCAACTATTAAAAGCATACTTTAGCCTATGTCTGGAATCACGAACAATAACGTATATGTCAGTTTTGATTCTTTTGAAAGCTTCCGTATAACGCAGAACTGAATAAGTCCGCTTACTAAAAGCCACTCAGTGTGAATGGAATTTGATAACAGAGAAAGAATATCAATTATTTAAATGATGATACTGCATTCTTAATTGAACACCTAGTGCAACGACCTGTATATTATACATGGCCGGAGCTAGTGAGCACACTTGACTGAAGTTTCAACTTTCAACAAGAGAGAAACATAAGATTGTTTTCTCTTTAAATTTGAGAGGAAAACTAGCTGGTATTGTGGTAAGACAATATTTTGCTTTTCCTGAAGAATTGTTTGTAGAACTCAGTAACTCACCCCTGGGTACCAGCCCTGCCTCACAAATACAGCTTTGGACTCTAGATAAAACAGTTAAAGTGCGCTGATATGTGGCTTGAGTTGCCTGGAAGAAAAATCTAAAAGTCTCAGCCATATAAAATGCAGGACCTGAACAAACAACATCAAGTAGAACTTTGTCTTTTTGGCCTTTGTTCATGGTCTATTTAAACCAAATAATCCATATCATTATCTCTTATTCAATTTTTTGCAAGATGAAAATTAATTGCATGGACACAGAATCACATCTAGAGTTTAAGGGAGAAAGTAACTTACTTCCCACGGATCCACCATTATAAATTCTGAACTTTTGCAGGCTAAATGACATAAGCGTATCCGATGTTCAGCAGAAACAAGGCCCTTTACCAATATTTCAAGTGATGAGCAATGAGACCAATTTAGCCGTGAAACAGAATGTAAAAATGTAGGTAACAGATTTTTGAGATAGAAGTTCTTAGGATACCTCTCCTATAACTGCGGGAAAATTATAAAGGGGCAGTTAGGTCAGTCTCAAAGCTCTAAAAAACTGTCCTTTGATTCTCATATTTTATTTTCCTTCATCAATCCTACAGTTTGTGAATTTCAATTTGCAAAGATGCACATATGAATATACTAGAGCATCTCAGTTTTAATAAGCTAGCGCAGAGTGGGGATGTCGCCATGAAATAGTAATTGCAGCTAAAGAGGGTCCTTAATGAGTTATTCCATTACAGTTTTGCAGGATGCTCAAAAATGTTTATTACCCTTTTCTTGTATGCATCATTAACAGGTGACATATAACCTCCAATAACACAGTAGCCTTCTGGATTCAATGCATCTCTTGCAAGCTCTGAGAAAATATTTTAAAAAAGAAAGCAGAAAACAAATTATAGTTAACAATTAAAATATGCCAATTAATGGAATTATGTCGATGAACCAAAGATATGGTGAAGATTTTACTTCGCCAAGGATTTGTAACTCTAAAACAGTAAGTGAATTGTCTAACAACATAATAAACCTGTTTAGGGAAGCAAGGAAAGATTACCAACATGATACATCTGTTTGCCAAGAAAAATTAGAAATAAAGAAACCACTCTCCCTTCTTTGTTTTTGAAGAGCCGAACTTATGATGTTATAATTAAGGGAGGGAATTATTATCTGAAAATAAAAATTTAAGGAATTAAGAATGCAGGAAGACACCATGCTTGTAAATCGGTTCTTGAGAAAACCCAACTCAACTGAGACATTAGAATTTCAGTGGCAATCATTTCATTCATATTCAGTTACTGCTTAATAAACACTTCAACAGTAAATGCCAAAGGAATTGCTACATTTTTATATTTTTCAGGCAATATTCCCCATTCTCCTTGCAGGGGGATCCAAATCCACAGTCTTCTACACTCCAAACCATTCTACTATACTTACAATCAATCACTACAAATAGTGATATTTGAGCTTTTGTGTTTATAACTATGTTTCTATACTGAAAAAATTATATCTTACATCATCATTCATGATCTGAAACTTCAAAACAGAAAAGGAAAGAGGCGTCAAAGGGAAGCTTTTAGCTGGACTAACATTGTGTGGGGAATCGGATAGCACTTATATTATTGGGTCTTCTTTACTCTGTAAATTTATATTGGGTTTTTAAGAACACCAAGGACAGACACAGCTCTGAACTTCAGCAAATGGAAATAAAGAAAACTACTAGAGCTCGGAGCTCTTCAAATAACTCACCAAACATGCGCAAATGCATGAAAGTAGGAGGATTGAAACTTCCAGTTGCTACCAGAACAACATACGTCTTGCCACTGACGCGCCCAAATGCAAAAGTTCCAGAGAAGGATAAGAAAAAGAAAAGCCAATATATATATATGACTGCATGTGGAAGAGAGACAAGAAAACTTTACCTGCTTGCAGTTCGATGCAGGGACTCTTCATTAACTAGTTCTAAAGCCAGTTTATCAAACGGCAAAGGGACATCCATGACTCCCTGGAGACATAAGAAACCAGCAATTTTATTGTTAATATATAAGATGAAAAAAAATGATCTTTTTGATTAATCTTGGAATGCCACTCTCAAATTACAATTATCAATGCCATAGGCAAACGGTTAGGTTTCTTAATCAATGAAACATTCTTTTCTATTAGTATGGTTAGTGGTGTCCTTGGACTTTTTCTGAGCCAAATTCCTTCTCTAGGTTCACCACTCCGTATTTGTCCACGATTTTACTCCCTACCGTGTTGCTCAGAGGAATCAAGTTCAGGTAGATAAGGACAGGTACTATATCATAACAACTGAGCAAACCAAAACATGTTTTCATGAATTAAACACCGAATTTCAAGCTCAAATTACACCTATCAATACCAAAGCGTTTCCCTTTCTGAATCAAACAATCCTTGACAAGTAACACTTGGAACAGAAATTGAATCCAAAATTATTCCTTCTAATGTCAAGCTAATCCATTTTCCTTTCCTCAAGAATCTCAGCCATAACAAAGAAGAGATAAACCAAAAGCTGAAGAAAAAACACATTGGGAAAGCTGAAAGAGCACAAACCAGAGGCAAGAAATAACTGTAGGAGAAAAAGCAAGAACAAGTGCAGAGCAAGCTTCTTCGATGTCGAAACCCCTCCTTTTTTAGAAGGGTCTTGCAGCGCCGATTCCACGCCCCAGGATGGACGAATCATCAGGTCAAAATATTGAAACCCAGACATCTTGAGCAGATTCTACACGGTCAATGATGATATTGCGGCGAAATGTACATTCATTTTTCATTTTTTCCTGATTCTAATTAAGTCAAATTTTAAATTAAACAAAAATATAGAATAATTTTCCTTTTTTTTTTTGGGCCAGAGAATAATTTTTCATTTGACTTTGAAGAAGTTTGTATCACTGCGTGTATTGTAAAAATTATGGTAAGCATATATACAATTTCAATAAAATTGAAAATTACATAATTTATCAACAACATGTCGAAATTTTTTCAATCTTCTGTTAAATAAAAGCTATATTATCTACTTCCAATCTAAATATAAGAGCTAGTTGAGGAGATTAAAAAAATAATTAAATTAGTTATTTATAATAAATAGACGTTGTCTTTTCTAAAACATCCTTACTAATCAAATATATTGGTTAGAACTACTATTATTAGAAGAACTATCTTAAAAAAATACATAAAAATAAGAGATAAAGTGAATTGAGATTTTATATTTATGATAAAAAAATCAAATAAAGTCTTATATTAAGAATCAAAAGTAGTATTTTAGTTTTATTTTTTTTCCTTCGGATTATTTTCATTGATAAAAATACTTATATTTAAAATATATTTTTTGTAATAAAAATAACATATATTTTTCATGGTGACATCTACGTTTGAGGTTAAGAGGAATCCGCTGCCATAAGTTCTGGAAAAACTACTTCTGGTTTGATTAGCACCATCAGAAGAGAAGAACCAAATGGACGGGAAACTACAATAAGCATTGATAAGACGTAGATGAATACCACGATTCAAATAGCCATGTATTTAGCTTTTGACTGTGTATATATTTGTCTCCTGCTTATCTCATCCTATGTTTTATTCAAAGTAAAAAAATTCTAAAACTGTATTAACTTTTTATTAGTAAAATATAATAAATTATACTTTATCCTTATTTAGTATTCTTTCATTTTTTTTAATATAAGACCTAATTATTAAATTAATTTTAGTCTTAAATATAATACCTATTTATTATATTTATCAATTTTTTCTAAATTATCCCTATAGATAATCGTTTAATTATAATCAAGTAAGTGAATGAGGGAGGATATTAAGAAAATTTATTGTGGTATTTTAGAAAAAAAATATGTCATATTTTTTATAATTAACTAACTTACCTAACTTCTTTAATCTAATTAAATTAACTAAATAGATTTTATGAGTATATATACCTTTCAAAAAAATAATTATTTATGTTATAATAAATGAATAATAAAATAATACATTCGTATTAAAATTTAATTAAGTGATTTGTAAATAAGATTAAAAAAAATATTTTTCTCTACCCCGTAAACAGAACTGGATAAGTATGTTTAAAGTTTGAGTTCATTCTAGTAGGTTCTACTTATACTTTAATGATTAATTACATTTCCCATTCAATTTTAATTTTTTAGTTTCTTCGGTCCACATAACACAAATTAACTTGTCAAGTAAGTACTATTTTGATTTTTTGAAGATTAATCAATTATGTTTGATGTTTTTAAAATTTACAGATTACACCATATTTCTCTCAATTTTAATTTTTTAATTAAAAAAATTAGAAAGAAAGACCTAAAAAAATTATATTTAATGAAAAGAATCTTAAAAATTAAAGCAAAATACACTAACACCCCTCTAGTTTACTTAAATTACATAAACTTTCTCTCTATTTTAAAAATATACATGGACCTCTTTTAAAATTAACATATATGTTACACATACTTCCTTTGTATATTTGGAATTCCATTTTCGTCTATCCAAATATTAGTTTACTGTTAGGTTTGACTTTTGAACTTTTTTTTACTATAATACCCTCCACTAGCATAAGAATTATTTAAACATTTATATTTGGTTTTATGCCCAATATTTATATTTAAAAAAATACTTTTTATACAACAAAAAAATTTAATACCTTTATTTTCAGACCTTCTAATATGTCATAAAATTTATTAATTTTGATTAAATTATAAAATTTTATAATTTTAAGTTTTCATTACATCAATTCAATTTCTTTTGCCTTTCTTTTTGCCTATTGGAACATGTATTTTGCCGTTTGGTACAGCGCGCACTAACTAGGGGTGTGCAAAAACCCGATGGTCCGATCCAGTCCAGTCTAACCCGAAGTGGTCTTGTCCGGTCCAATCCAGTCCAAATTAACTATATAATGGAATTAAACTAGACTGGACCAGACTAGTTGGTCGGGCTGGACTGGGTTTCGGACCAAGTGATCATATCACCTAGACTGGTCCAGTCCAGTCTAGGTGAATTTTTTATTTTTCAATAATTTGTAATTTAGATGGTGCCTTTAATTGTTTTTAATGTTTTTAGATATTTTTATGTATTTTATGATGAAGTCTTAATATTTTAGGACGAGTTTCATATGATTATAGGTATTTTTTATTGTCTTAATTGTACTTATCATGTTGAAATCTTATTTCTCATAAAGAAAAAAATTAAAAAAAAAAAGAAAATTGGACAACTGGACTGCCTGGACCAGTCCACCAGTCTGGTAGACCAAGTCCAGTCCAACCCGACCTCGGTCATCACTGGACCAGACCAGACCACAGACTATCAAACCCAGTCCAACCAAAAATCAGACTAGACTTCGGGTTGGGCTCTGGTCCGGTCCGGTCCGTCCATTATGCAGCCCTAGCACTAACTACCGAGCCGCCAGCCTTTAGGGCCAATTCAATTTCTTTAAGTGGCTAAAAAAATTAAATGCATTTTTTTATCACATAATGTAAACAAAATTTTTTTAATTACAAACATTTATAAACATATTTACTTAATTTTAAATTATTTAAGAAATTAATCATATTTTTTTAGGTCTACATTAATTAAGTTGTTTAAGTTTTTATGCCAAAATAAATATTTTAAAAAATAAAAAAATAAAATTAAGGAAAAGAAAAAATTTAATTCTTCAAAATAATTTTAGTCAAAATAGAGATTTAGTATGATAAAAGGTAAATAGTAAATTTTTTTTTTTAATATAAATTTTAATTAAAAAGCATCTTTTTGAATTTTTAACAGAATTAACTATTTGGATTTAACTGTAAGTTTTTAACCTAAAATAAAGAGTTTCTATAATTAAGTTAAAATGTAAGTGAGATTAGAGTATTTTATTTTAAAAATTATACTACTTCTGATTAAATTATAAGACCTTGTTTATATAGATTATAAACGAGATCTACTGGAGGTAGTAATTAGTTTAAAAAGATAAAATCAAACATAGATGCCAATTTTTCCCTAAACTAAACTCCCTAACATTCCCTCTACCATGTTTTAAATTTTGACAGTTTACACCAGATATCTTCTCTCGCCGCTGGCACTGTGTGTGTGGTGTGTGTTGTGTATTTATACATATCTATCTCCTGCACTATTTTTCATTAATCAATAGCCTTTAAATTTAGATGGGGGTTGAGGGTATTTGTCCTTTTGGGCCTTAGGCCTCTTTTAGCACCCAAAAACAAAACAAGTTTTTTTGGCCACTGAAAATGGACAAATTCTCATCTCTATCTCTTCATTTCTAAAAAAAATATACGTGTAATTATTTTTAAAACTTAGTTTAACTAATTTCTATCTAAAAAAATCAGATACCATAAATGATTCAAAATATTAATAAAATATATAGATGCAGACAGATATCATAAGATTTGAAAGACAATTAATAATAAATTATTTATAATTTTAGTCAAAATCAAAATAATTTTATTTTTCATAAATATCTTAATAGCATAACTTATCATAAGTTTTATATTGATTTAAACTATTTTAATTTTTTACACTTCGGAAAACCGGCTTTTGCATTAATTTGAGTTCTTCAAATTTAATGTTATAAAAGATAACATTAAATTCGTATATGAATTTTACCTTTTCTTGGTGAAAAACAGATTCAGAGACTTGTATGATACTTATATATACACACAAATCAAATAAGTTTCAAATAATTGAGATAAGGTTAGAGGGGATATGTAGCGTTTGGTTAAGTACAATTTAGTATTTGTATCTTTATTTTTAATTTTTAGTTCTCCTCTAGTCCTATTTATAAGATTTCTAATATTTCACACAAATTAAAAAAACTTTAAACTACATTAGCTTTTTATTAATACAGCAACTTTCTAATTTTATTCCTATTTAATATATACATCTTTCAAAAGAATAACTATCTACACTATAATAAATCAAAAATAAATAGTACATTCATGCTAAAAATTTAATAAAATGACTTACAAATAGGTAAAAAAATATTCTCTCTGTGCCTTATAAATAGGACTAGAGGAGTGTAATTTTAAAT